ACATAGGGAGAACATGACAACACCACACACACAGAGATTCATGGCAGAGACTCAAACCCTGGTCCCAGAGGTGTGAGGCAACAGTGCTAACCACTGCACCACCGTGCTATTTAAAACATAACACTAGAACAAAATTAGATTGATGACTGCAGCTTTAAACAGGTTAAAAGGTAAAACTGACCCATATGTTTAGTGAGTGGAAGATGCAAAGAAACAAGCTTGTCTTAAGTTATGTGCTGTAGATGTTTCATGCCCAGCTGTTTCTCATCCTAAAGACCAGCTGTGACCTTGTTAAAATGGAAAGCATACATAACATCAAGTGAAATGTAGAATTCTTGTGGTTACAACCGACAGAATTTTTTATGTCCCTTGAATGAAAAGCATAGTTACATTTTTTGAAATGCATAACTGGATATGAAAAAGGCACAGCTACTGCGCTTTTCTTTACTTTTACGTTTCTAGCTTTCCAGTCATGACCTCCTTTTCCCTTCTGGAATTTTCTGACATCCTTGTGAAAGCAGTGTATACGACATAAAAATTGTAGTTTCCAGTAATTTTTTTAAAAATGTACTGTCACGGTAGCTAAAAAATGATGTATTCCAGCACAATTAGAGAGAAAAAAAATGATTTTTACTTATAAGAAGGTAGAGAATGTAAAGGAACGGATTAGGAAAAGGCATAAAATGGATATTCCTCTTGTTTGATAACTAAGCAATATTTTTTGTATTTGGGTAATCGTTATAACTGCAACACATGTGGAGACATCACTTAAAACTGGGAAACTAATCCTTCTTTTAAAATGTTTCTTTTTTAACATTCAAAAGCTTTTCTTGAGAATTCTGTGGAAATTTTAACAAAAATATTTAACTAGTCTGCAAGAGTCTCTGGTTATTAAGAAATTAGCATTTCTTTTATGAATCTGCCAAAAATGCCAACACGCCAATGGTGGAAACAAAAATAGCTTTGACTAGAAATCCCATCCGAAGGTATTTCATTAACATATGAAAACATAAGTGGAAAATGGGAATAAAAACATGGCTTACTGTATGACTGATGGGAAACCTGTTAAAATCAGCCACTATATTTTTAAATGCAATAAAAAAGAAATGTGCATTTTTCAGTCTCACTACCTGTTCATCAATTTAGCAATTTCAGCCAAAAATACCATTTTTAGTTTATTGCTGCTCATTAATGCTTGCTTTTATGAATATTTTATGGAATATTTTTTTATTTTTAGAATATGTGTTATTACCCCGATGTTAAACCTCACGTGTAATGTGCAACAGTGTAAAAGCTAAACAAACAAGCAAACAAATAAATAAACAAATATAGGCCTATTAAGAGAAATATTATTGTGTGCCGTTATAGCAAACACTTTCGCTTATTATTATGTCGACCAAAAGGATGGTGGAGCACTGCAACTACCTTCGAGGACCAGAAATTTGGGACAGAGCAAATAGGACAAGTCAAACTCATAAATACTTGAGGGGAAATTCCTGGAAAAAACATTAAGCCATTAACCAATTTATAGGGCGCCTTGAAGGCAGAGCAGCGTCACACATTGTAACTGCAGCCACATAAAATGTTTTTTTTGTTTCTTTCCAAATGGTAGTTCAAACACTGCCAATTGTGAGATTGCTGTGAGTCACTGAAGTGTCATTCAGATATTTTAGAGGGATATGTATTTGGAGGGGAAAACCACCAGCAATTTTGCCTTGTAGCCCATCAAATTGTGTACGTAATTGCACAGGCGAAAGACCTGTGACGTAACTGGTGAAGCTCTTACACCTCAAAACACTGGCGGATTAGGGTATGGGCAACATGGCCCGCCGCCCAGGGCAGCGTCTTGCTGGGGGCGGCACAGGGGGCCCCCGCAGAAACATACCGTTGTGACATTTTCGCAATCGAAAAATTTTTTAACGCTCATTTGCACGTCAGGTCAGTGATATCATGTTACCATAAGGGTCAAGTAGCCATGTTGGACTGTGCGCCATAATTGTAGTTTGTGGGCTCGGTAGGCTAGAACTCAGAAGTATGAGATGGGGACGGGGGCGAGGGGGGGTAAACTTCAGCTCGCCCCACTGGAAGTGTAAGGTGAGCGGGGGAATATATCAAATAGCTCACCTGTAACTTTGTTGAGGACCAATGCAATTTTTTGTTGCCGGGGGGATTGCCCAGAGCGCCATATAAGCTATGACCAACATTGCTTCACAATGTCGTTTACCTATATCAAACTATCCTCTAAAGGAGCACAGCGTGAGCACAAATATTACTGTTCATATTTTTATTTTATAATATTTTGAGTTGATACTGTATAAAGACACAAAAAGTAAAATCATTTAGAGGTGTTTCTTAAACTTTTCTGTTGAGAATGTAACGTTTATTAGCACTGCTCCCTAACCAGTGACTTTAACCAGGAAACATTTATAATATGCCATAGCAAACATATCACTTACACACGATTTGAGTGATTGCGTTCCGGCATGCCAAATCGCCATGGCAACAGCCTTGCTGCTTCTAATTATAAAAAATTATTTGCTAGCCAGAAAAAGCAGTATGTAATGTGCAACTAACTTAGAATGTGACTTTTTAATTACTTTGTGCTTTTTAAACATTAATTCAAGTTTCCTTGCCTCAAACACTTGAAGTTATTAGATTAACATTTACATTTATATCATTAAGCACCTGAGGTTAGTTCCCCAACCACTAGATTACATATTGCCATATTAATATATCACTAATGTTTTAAGGCTACCAAAGGAAACCAGACAGTGCTATAATTTCATCCTTAGATAAGTTGATACATTTAAGTTAATAAATACAGGACGCACTTTACTTGAGGGGACATGTAATGTAGTAGTACATGCTTACTTAATACATCAATTAACCAGTAACTACGTGTTAGTTACATACTGATCCCACGCTTGTTCATCATTAATCAATCATTACTGTTCATGTTTTCCATTCAGGCATATTAGTTACGTTAATGTGAGGGGGCAAAAATTACTTAATTAATTTACTACTCAAGAATAAATCGTGAACTAATATAGATTTCCCCATGAAATACATGGACTGTAATGACTGATTAATGATGAATGAACATGGGATCAGTACTTAACAAACACTTAGTTATTGGGTAATTAATGCATTAAGTATGTACTACTACATTATTAATGACCCTTCAAGTGTTACCTAAATTTGTGAGATTACTGAGAATTGAAAGAAAATCTCCTTTTTTCCCTCTTCTTGGTGGACCGTCTAAGGTTGAGAAAGATGCCTGTGTGCCTTTCAGTGGATGGAGCAATAAAATAATGAAAACGTAAAAGGCGAAGGGATATGGCAATTAAACATGAATCCCCTCAGGAGTCACGCTTAAGTACAGACCATTAGGAAATCCAGGCTCATTTGCGACGTGATCACTATACTTACTTCTGACTTAAAAGCTCATTCAGTGTAAATGGCGTCCCTGCTGCTTAAAGAGATCACGGCGCTGTGACGTGTCGGTAATTTCTCACACGTCAGTCAAAGTACGAACAGTCATGGGTGCATATCAACTTTGTGTGATCCTTCATGAAACTTAACTGCCCCTGAAAAGCCACTATAATTCACCAATGTTTATTTAAATTAACATAGGCTTGGAGGGCTTTAAATTATGTGTTTTTTTTAAAAGAGTTATTTTTGTCTGAATGGGCGTCTGCCTTATTCTCCATGCTTGCCATTCAGAGTCACTTCACTGCAAGTGCAGCCAATCATAACTGCTTCTGTAACTGAACTGTAGTCGAAGCCTGTACCCTCCCCATGATGCAAAGTCTGACTCTGAATGAAGCGCAGGTTTTAATCCCGCAAAAGAGAAGCACGTCGACATTGAAAGCAAGAGAAAATCTGAAAATAAGCAGTCACTCACATTTAAAATACTGACTGGATCAGTTTCATGCTGATCTATTTATGAGTCAGGAAAAGCAGAAAATGACTCCTGTTCACCACACACCCTTTCCATATTCTTGTCATATTTTTCTTGCAATACTAGACCCAGAAGCCTGTGTATACGACTTAAGAAGCATGGTGAAAGCATTTTACGGCTGCACCAGGCCATAGATCATACGCCAACCTGGGAATGTCCCATTACTTCAGACAAAAAATTCCTAACATGGTTTCATATTCAAATTTTATATAGATCTATGTTAAATTTTATGAGATGGTTTCCTTGCAAGTATAAGAATTATAAATGAACCAGGATGGGTGTCTAGATGGACTGGGTGGATGGAATCAAAGGATAAGACCTATTAACTGTCGCATGTGAAATCATTAGCATGCATTACAGCAATTTATAAATCATATCCATCTCTGTCAAAATTCTGGCTTGACATGAGTTAGGAACGTGTCATCTTGGTAAGTGTAAGTCATAGCCACAAATGAAATAAAATGACCAGATTATAAAACATAACAAGGTTCTTAACTGGGCAATGAGCATCCATAGTGATGTGCTAAAATGTGCCTACTTTTTGGGCTACCTTCCGACATGAATGCATTCCACACAAAGGCAAAAAACACAGTCAGCCTGAAGCGTCTTCGTACATACAGCAGAATAACAGCTTTATACCTCTCATTATACCTCAGACACTATCAACACTGTCGAGTTCTGGCTCTCCAGCTACATTAATCCCACTGCCAAAAGTCTTATCTAACATAGCTGGGCTTCTTTAAGTTAGTAATTTTTGACTATACATTTTGACTTAATTAGCAGATGCTTTTGTTCAAAGTGACGTACATTTTGAAAAAGCAGAGTTGGTGGACCTTGCTCATGGGCCCTATGGTGAAATCATTCTGTCAACCGAGGGATTTGAATGAGTGACCTTCCAAGCACAGGGACAACACGCTAACCCAGCGAGCCACATTACTCCCACCCTTAAGATATGTTCCACATCACGTTGCTTCAGGTATTTAAGTTAGACAAGCTGTGACAGCAGTATCAGTGTTAGAGAGCACCACCCAGGCCTTACCTGCTGATATGTCGATGCGCGTGCTCTTCCCGCTCGTGACGTTGATGCCGACGCTGACTCTGCCCTCTTTCAGGCCCATTTCCACAGCACCGTCGGCCAGTATGCCAAACAGCAGCAGCCCGCTGGGGTTCCAGGTGCGGAACTGGAAGCTGACAGACACCGTGTCGTGGCCCCTTCTCCCTGGGAGCTGCAGGTAGCTGGTGGCATTGAAGAACACCGGTGACGTGTGGGACTCGATGCAGGAGAAGCTCAGGTTACGCTGTGCAAGCCAAGGAGAGAAACAGGGAATGAATCAGAAGCAGGTTCATTGGCCAAGTACTGTTCACACACCCAGGGAATTTATTTCTAGTTGTCAATGGCTCTCATATACCACATATAACACAGGGCTGGATCTACCTTTTCAGGAGCTCTAAGCAAAACTTTCTTTGGCGGTCGCCCCTACCAAGAAAACTGTAGATCATTTCACTTCCTCCACAACGCAGGTAATTCAGGAACTCAGGGCAACTGACTATAGCTGGTTATGTTCCTGCCTGTACAGAAATATTCTAATTTGGTGTATATGGTTTTATTTTTTATTTTTCATTAAATCATTCTTCTTTATAAATTATATATCAACACTTTACTTAAGGGCATGTTTTTAGTAATTTATAAACATTCATAACAAATAATAATGCATTCACAAAGCATTACAAACATGTCTATAAATATTTATCAAAAGGCATAACACTTTATACCCATATTTTTATATAAAGATATCTGTAGTGCAATATAGATGAGAGCTTCATAAAGCATTCCTAATGAATAATACACATGGCTGTAACGTGGTATGCTTTTTCATAAATATTCATAGCCATGATTATAATGCTTTATGAATGTATTACAATGTATTAAGAATGTGTCCATAAATTACTAAAATCATGGCCTTAAGGTAAGTGTTATCTATATCTTAATATGTAATATTCATTTTTTTGTTCATGTTCTTTGCCTGGACCATCTTGCACCGATCGGGCCCCATACAGCTGCTTAGTTTGCCTGCGATTAGATCCGGCTCAGTATATACAGTACAGTACATACACAGACACATAAAGTTCAGCTAATATATACAATGTGCATGTGTAGTTGATAAATGCAAAACAAGTGTTGGAGTATGTGTTGGTACAAGGAATGCTGGAGGAAATGCAAAATGCGCACATTAATACTCATTATTTATATCGATGTCATTATGGGGGTAACAGTGCCAATGATGGGTAACAGGTGGGTTATGTAGGGTTAGCGGTGTAAGTAAGCTGAGGCAGCTGGGTCAACTGTCCGTAAGGGTGCAAGTAACTGGGTCAAGAATGACAAAGTCACATGATTATTACAGGGCGTTTTGTTTTTTAAGCACGGATGGCTTTGTGTCTGAAATAATTGATAAATAAATAAATAAATAGTGCTTAAGCTCCAGCAACCCTTTTCAATTGCCTTCTGAGAAAGGATCTAGGAATTATCTAAATTTTGACATTTTGGGTGGATTTCTGGTTTTCGGTTTCCCCAAGGAAAAAGCCCTTTGTAAGCAACTGCAATAAAACTCTAATACTTTTTATAGCCACAGCAATAACACTCTTTATAGAACAAACAGATTTTTCTGTAAACCTCTATAAATCTGAGACTATAACATACTTATGCTCTATACAGTATGTACATCTCTTTTAGCAATTCATGTATAGCAAAACTATAAATATATAAGATATTTGTTTGTTTGTTGTAACATCCTTTGAGCTGCTTGACACTTTGGGATTTATAGCCTTCTTATAGCAAAAATCGAAATATATTATCAGTACATTTCATTAATATGGATTTATAATTTACCGTCATTAATAATCCCAGACAACTTGTAATTACTTTTAATGAGCACATCTTTGTGTTTTCAGATGAGCGCTAATGCCAGTGTTTTTTTTTAAGTTAATCTTCAAAAACAAAGAGGAAATATTTCCAACCATGCCAGTAAGAGACAAGCAGTAGAACGTTAATCTTTATCAAGACTAATAGCTACAGTCAAGTGCAATAAAGCGGAAGCTTAGATTCTCAGCAATTAATCACATGCATAATATGTTAGGAATTTTAATCAAAGCTGTTGACTCTGTTCATTTTTTATTCTGCTGAATCTTCTTCCATGCTGGAAGCCGGCCAGCTCCACATTACGTTTACTCTGCACCACAGATTACTTGGATTTTCCAGTACATAGTAATAGGAACAGTGGGAATACATCAGCACTTTTATATCAAAACATGTTATCTAACAAAGCACTAGACTCATCATGTCATGATTCAGCATGTTTGTAGATGACGAACTTCCAAAAACGCACAAAATGAGCTAAAGCAATGATGCAATTAATTTGACACAATTCTGAGCCCTTTCCCTGCTGTTTTAGTAGTAATGGAGCGAAGTGCACATTGAGAACATATTCAAAGTTCAACTGAAAGTAAATCAGCCTGAGTCAATCCTCCCACATAGATTCGATGATCTGTTAAGTCCTTCAACTGAAATGGGGGTTTTATGAAAGGTCTTTGAGACTAGATGGCACAGTCTGAACATTAAAACCAAGAAAAACATAAAGAGTATTGGGGGGGGGATGGGACGAATGATGTTCTTTCTTTGCATTGAAGATACAGCAAAGGCACTCAACCAAGTTTTCTCGCTATAGTTTGTGTAAGACGATAACACGTATGTAAGCTGAACATCCATCACAATACACATATTAAGCCATAAATGCCCTTTAGTGGTTCAATACAAACACAACTAACAGGATCATTACATGTGTGTATTTTCCATATCTCTACAAAACTATCTATGAATTTTTCAATTCAAACAACAACTGCAATAAACAATAAGAAAATAATAATTTACTTTTAATAACTATATACCTTCTGTTGTACCATTTCAAATACATGTACTTTATAGATACACCAGTTCATACCGTGACCAGCGGATGAGCAGGGAGCGGGGAATCAGGAACGGGGAGACGGAGAGCCAGGAACGAAGGGTTTATTGAGGAAACGACAAGGCAAGGCACAAAACGGTGTAGACGTCAATGACAGGACTGGGGAAACATACTTGAACGCGGAGTAGATCTGAGATCTCTTTTTGGAATAATCTATTGTTCTGACCAGTGGACCTATTAGTGGGTTACTGTACAGCCAGTGTTAAAAACCCAGAACAACCAGTGAGAAATATAACCCAGGTCAGCAAACTTATTCCCATCTGAAACAACACATAATTATATACATAATAGTGTATATATTATTGAATGTCCCCACAATGTGGGGGGAAAAAACTGCTCTAAACTCAATTGGATAAAAATCTGTGAATACAATCAAAGAATTAAAAATGCCAGTAGTCTTGTATTTTGTTTTGGTTATTTATGGTTATGGTTAGGGCTGGGTAGGGGTTACAGTTGTCATAGTTGAGATTAAGGTTATGCCCAAAGAAATGGCCATATACTGTAGATACTTTGTGTGTGTGTGTGTGTGTGTGTGTGTGTGTGTGTGCTCTTTGTGGGAATGGCATCACATCCAGAGTGTTCTCCTTCCTTGTGCCCATGACTCTACCGAATAAGAAGAATATGGATGGATGGATGGACGGACGGACACACGGCACTACTGAAATACAGGAATACACATTCACAAATACTGTGCCCCATATATGGTATTACAATAATGAAACAAATATCTGAAAGACAAATTTGGGATTGGTTGAGAAACACTACCTGCTGCTCCACCAAGTGATCTCTGCAACGTGATTGATTGAATCTGAATGCAGTCGTACCTTCGTGAATAATAACTCTCATTTGCCTACACAGCAAGCATGTCAAATTGCCAGAAGAGGGAGTCAATTTGTTTTCTCTTGGTACTTAGACGGGTGGCTACTTTGTCAGAGGTAACAGTCTGGTGGTGCCGGCTGTATTCATTTAAAACTTTGCTGTTTGCTAGGCAGTTGATAGCTTTTAAGTTACTCTTCCTGGAAGTTTTTGTTTCCCAGCCTCCATATATCTTACCACCACTGACATCACTCCATTTTCTTTGAACCTAAGCTATTAATTATTGTCCTATGATGATTAATTGATAGCTGCATAAAGTGAAGTCATTTACATTACGTCATTTTCAAAGGATGCCGTAAAATCGAAGGAGGCCTGAAGTAGAGCTTAGATCGGGCCCAAAAAATTAAACCCGATCCTACCCGAGCCCGTGCACCTTGTGTCCGAGCCCGACCCCGTCCGACACATTAACTGTAATTATGAGCCCGAGCCCGATTTAAACCAGACTATTTTTTAATACGTGAACCGTTGTAACAGACGTTCTCAACTACAATTCTAAGTTGTTTGAACTACAGAAAT